AACTAGTGGTCAGAGGCTGAACTACAACATAAAAATGAACGGATGGGAAGAAGGTTGACATTTTAAAACTTAAAAATCGATACAGGGCTTTAGAATATCGATACAGTATCTGGAAATGAAATATCGCGATATTTCAGTGTATCGATATTTTCTTACACCGCTACTAAATAAACCTTTTAGTTCTGCTGCTTCTTGTTTTTGTTTTCCGTGATCCGACTGTTGATTTGCTGTTTGCATGGTGAGTGGTGCATTGTGGGAGATTATTAAACCAACCTGACAGATGTTTAATTAATGAGTTTGTAGCTGAATATGCTTTCGTTTGTTTTGTGGCGTTAGAGCTCGAACAAACTGTGAGGACAGGACTAAAAACAACGGGATCAGACGGAGCCGTAATTAAAGAACCAGAACCGTCTCAGGATGTGGTGTTTTGTTTGGTTTTCCTGACCCAGAATGCTCTGCTCACTCTCAGGCTGTGTGCGTTTGTTGTTTTCAGTCCAAGCATGGCGATGACGGGTCAGAGCTCGTCCTCCTCCATGAGTAACCACACCAAGGAGCGGGTCACCATGGCCAAAGTGACCCTGGAGAACTTCTACAGTAACCTGATCGCCCAGCACGAGGAGCGGGAGATGAGGTGAACTTTGAGTCTGAAACAAAACATTTGAAGGATTTCTGTTTAGACTGGGCTGAAAGAGAGAAGTCACGGTTTCTTTACGAGCTGAAACACCAACGTGTTTCTTCAGGATGTGGGTTCAGTCGTTAGGGAGGGCCACTTCCTGTTGAGACGAGTTGCATCACAGAACGCTCCTCACCTCCAGATTATTATTTTAATTTCAATTTAATTTTTATTTTATAAAAGGTCAGATGTAGGTAGGTGAGGTTAATGTTACATTAAATGGGTTTTTAACTTTTTTTATTCCTTTATTCAACCAGGAAAGTCTCACTGAGATTAAACCTGTTTCAAGGAGTCCTAACAAGAGGCAGCAAACGTTACACAACATTTACACAAAGTTACACAATTAAAATGCCAAACAAACAATTATTAAACATTCACAGTACAAAGAAGTCGTCACGAGTGCCCTCGTGTTTAAATAAAGAAGAGAGTTTAGAATTTCCTGTAAAGATCATCGATGCACGTTCTGCTGCTGAAGCTTCTGGATCAGCAGCTGGAACCAGTTTATTTTAGTTTAGTGTCTGCTCAGTAAATAATGATGTTTTAATTTGTTTGAACTGATGAAACTTTATTGAAACGTCTGACTGAACGTCGTGTCCACAGGCAGCAGAAGCTGGAGAAGGTGATGGACCAGGAGGGTCTGGCTGATGAAGAGGTGAGCTCCTGAAACCTGCTGAAAACATAAACAAAAACTAAAACTGGGTCTGCGGAGTTGTGAAGTAACTACATACAAATACTTTGTTACTGTACTTAGGTAGAATTTTTGGGTATCTGTACTCGAGTAATTGTTTTTCAGCCTACTTTTTACTTAAATTTTAAAAAAAGAAAAGAATTTTAAGAAGTATTTGTATTTCATGAATTATATTCTTACATTTGGCC